TAGCTTGGAAAAGGAAGAACAAAAATTGTCTGTGGAAAACAAGTCCTTAAAAAATACAATTGGCTAAATGGAAAAAAAAAAAGTACACTGAAGAAAACAACTCCTTAAAATATATTCTAGAAATGAAGGCTTTATCAGACACTGGCTGTAAAAATTGTTTCCCAGCTTTCTGCTTCCCTTCTAATCTTGGTTGCATTGGCTTTTTTTGTACAAAACCTTTTCAATTTAATGTAATCAAAATCATTTTGCATTTCATAATGTTCTTTATCTCTTGTTTGGTCATAAATTCTTCCCTACTCCATAGATCTGACAAGTAAACTATTTCTTGTTTTTCTAGTTTGCTTATAGTGTCAGCCTTTGTACCAAAATTATGCACCTATTTTGACTTTATCTTGGTATAGGGTGTAACACATTGGTCTATGTCTAGTTTCTGCCCTACTATCTTCCAGTTTTCCTAGCAGTTTTTGTTAAATATGGAGTTCTTATCTCAGAACCTGGAGTCTTTGGATTTATCAAACAGTAGATTACGATAGTCATTGACTGTTATGTCTTGTGTACCTAACCTATTCCACTGATCCACCACTCTATTTCAGTGCTCTATTGCCAGTACCAAGTAGCTTTGATGATTGCTGTTTCATAATACAAATTAATATCTGTAACAGGTAGGCCACCTTCCCTTGCACTTATTTTCCTTAATTCCATTGATATTCAGGACCTTTCATTCTTCCAGATGAATTTTATTATTATTTTTTCTAGCACCATAAAATATTTTTTGGTAGTTTCATTGGCATGGCACTGAATAAGTAAATTAATTTAGATAGGATTATTATTTTTATTTTATTAGCTCGGCTTACTCCATAATATTTTCCCAAGTATTTAGATCTGACTTTATTTGTGTGAAAAGTATTTTATAATTGTGTTCATATATTTTCTGGGTTTGTTTTGACAGGTAGATTCTCAACTATTTTATAATATCTATAGTAACTTTAAATGGAATTTCTCTTTCTATCTCTTGCTGTTGGGCTTTGTTAGTAATATGTAGAAATGCTGATGACTTGTGTGGGTTTATTTTATATCCTGCAACTTCACTAAATTTGTTTATTATTTCAAGTAATTTTTTACTTGATTCTCTAGGATTCTTTAAGTATCATCATATCATCTGCAAAGAGTGGTGGTTTTGTTTTCTCATATCTTATTCTAATCCCTTCATTTTCTTTTTCTTCTCTTATTGCTAAACCGAACATTTCTAGTACTATATTAAACAATAGTGGTGATAATGGACATTTTTATTTTACAACCGATCTTATTGGAAAAGCTTCTAGCTTATCCCCATTACATATAATGCTTGCTGATGGCTTTAGACAGATGCTACCCATCATTTTAAGGAAGACTCCATTTATTTCTATGCTCTCTAGTGTTTTTAATAGGAATGGATATTGTATTTTCATCAAAAGCTTTTTCTGCATCTTTTGAGATAATCATGTGGTTTCTGTTAGTTTTGTTTTTTATACGATCAATTATGTTGATAGTTTTCCTAATGTTGATAAATCCTGCTTGGTCATAGTGTATTATCCTCAATTGATAAGTTGCTGTGATCTCTTTGCTAATATTTCATTTAAAATTTTTGCATCTATATTCATTAGGGAAATTGGCCTATAATTTTTCCTCTGGTTTGGCTCTTCCCAGTTTACATATCAACACCATATTTGTATCATAAAAACAATTTGGTAGGATTCTTCCTTCACTTATTTTCCCAAATAGTTTATATGGTACTGGAATTAATTGTTCTTTAAATGTTTAATAGCATTCTCTTGTAAATCCATCTGGCCCTGGAGATTTTTTTCTTAGGGAGTTCATTGATGACTTATTGATTTCTTTTTCTGAAATGGGGTTATTTAAGTATTTTATTTCCTCTTCCACTGGTCTGGGCAATTTATATTTTTGTAAATATTTATTCATTTCGCTAATATTGTCAATTTATTGGCATACAGTTGGGCAAAATAGTCCCTAATTATTGTTTTAATTTCCTCTTCATTGGTGGTGAATTCATCCTTTTGTTTTTGATGCTGGTAATTTGGTTTTCTTCTTTCTTTTTTTAAATCAAATTAACCAAAGGTTTATCTATTTTATTGTTTTTTTCATAAAACCAGCTCTTACTTTTATTTATTAGTTCATTAGTTTTCTTAATTTAAATTTTATTAATCTCTCCTTTGGTTTTCAGAATTTCTAATTTGGTATTTAATTGGGGACTTTTAATTTGTTCTTTTTCTAGCTTTTTTAGTTGCATGCCCAGTTCAGTGATCTCTTATTTCTCTATTTCATTCATATAAGCATTTAGAAATATAAAACTTCCCCTAAGAACCACTTCTCTGATAAAGGCCTCATTTCCAAAATATATAGAGAACTGAGTCGTATTTATAAGAATACAAGTCATTCCCTAGTTGGTAAATGGTCAAGGGATATGAACAGGAAGTTTTCAGATGAAGAAATTAAAGCTATCAATAATCATATGAAAAAATGCTCTAAATCACTATTGATTAGAGAAATGCAAAGCAAAACAATTCTGAGGTACCACACCACATCTATCAAATTGGCTAACATGACAAAAAAGAAAATGATAAATGTTGGTGAAGATGTCGGAAAATTAGAACAATGTGTTGGTGGAGTTGTGAACTGATTCGGTCATTCTGGAGAGCAATTTGGAATTATGCCCAAACAGCTATAAAACTGTGCATACCATTTTTCCCAGCAATACCACTTCTAGGTCTGTATTCCAAAGAGATCACAAAAACAGGGAAAGGACCCATGTGTACAAAAATATTTATAGGGAGCTCTTTTTTTTGGCGGCCAAGATTTGGAAATTTAGGGGCTGTCCATCAACTGGGGAATGGCTGAACAAGTTGTGGTCTATGAATGGAATATTATTGTAGTATAAGAAATGATAAGCAGGTGGAGTTCAGAAAAACCTGGAAAGATTTATATGAACTCAATCTGAGTGAAATGAGCAGAACCAGGAAAACATTGTACATAGTAACAGCCATGATTGTGCAATGATTAACTTTCATAAGGATCTAAGACTGGTCCAAAAGACTCATGATAGAAAATACTATCCACATCCAGAGAAAGAACTATGGACTCTGAATGCAGATGAAGCATACTATCTGCTCTGTTTTGTTGTTGTTTTGCTTTGTTTCTCCTTTCTCGTGGTTTCTCCCATCGCTTCTAATTCTTCTTTACAACATGACTAATGTGAAAATATATTTAATAGGTATGTATGTGTACAGCCTATATCAGATTGCATGCCATCTTTGGGGAGGGGGGAGGGAAGAGAGGGAGAGAAAATTTATAACTCAAAAGCTTATGGGAGTGAATGTTGAAAACTAAAAATAAAATTTAAAAAATAATATTTGATGCAGTAGATGGAGCACCAGCCCTGGAGTCAGGAGGACCTGAGTTCACATCCGGCCTCAGACACATGACACTTACTAGCTGTGTGACCCTGGGCAAGTCATTTAACCCCGATTGCCTCACTAAAAAACAAAAGGCAAAAAAAAAATTGAAAAGAGATAGCATTTATTGAAATCTCAGGAAAGGTGAGATTATACTAACTAATAAGAGGAGATAATCTGTATGTAAAAAAGAAAAAAGTGGCAAGATTTTTAATGTTCTAGAAATTGTCTTTAACAGTGGTATGCATAAAACATGGACTAAGTATGCATGGCCAGCACACCTTAAAGAATCATTGGCCCTTTTCTTGAGGGGAACACAGCTAAGACTTTCTAGAATCAATTTTTAATAAGTAAAATTAGAATCTCCAACAGTTGTGCCATCCTCATGGCTTTTTTCAGTAACTGAACACAGACAGCCATTACTTTTCTTAGATGTTTTGAAGATTTATTTTCTTTGATATCCAGTGATTTATAGGCATACGGCTTGTTAAGTCTTCCTCCACCTACAAATCTCTATTGACTCACCAGTATTGAGCTTAGTTGTAAATATTCAACTGAGTCTAACAAAATTGTCGTACAGACTGTAAAGGAAAATCTAAGCTGCTTTACTAGGAGTGGCCATTCAAGGAAGAAATTCTTTGTTTTATTGGGCTTTTGGCATCTGATAATTTTTCAGTGACAACTTCAGGTCTGTTGTGTGTTAAAGGGAAACTGGTATTTTATTAATATAATAATAATAACAGCACCAACAAGCTAGCATTTATATAACACCTATTATGTTCCAGACACTGTGCTAAGTACTTTACAAATATTATCTCATTTGATCCTCACAATAAATCTGTGAGTGAAGTGCTATTATTGTTCTCATTTTACAAGTAAGGAAACTGAGGGGGGGAAAGAAGATTAAGTGTCCAGGGTCACACAGCTCATAAGCATCTGAAACTGGATTTGAACTCAGGTTTTCCTGACTCCAAGCCCAGTGCTCTAGTCGCCAGCTGCCTCTTGAAGCAGCTAGAGAACTCATTTAATGCTCTATAAATTTCTGTATTTAACATATGCCAAATGTTCCAATGCAACAATGGACATGTCTTTGTTTACAGAACAAAGGTTATTTGTATTTCTTCATTAGGAAGAGATTTTTTATCCCCTTTCTGAACTGGCATAATAAAAGAAAATGGCAAGTTCACATAAAGTTGGGCAGCTGAGTGGCAAAGTAGACAGAGCATTGGGCTTGAAGTTAGCAAGACCTGAGTTCATATTCAGCCTCAAACACTTACCAGCTGTGTGACCCTGGGCAAATCATATAACCTGTTTTGTCTCAGTTTACTCACCTGTAAAATGGGGGTAATAATAGCACCTACATCATAGGTTTGTTGTGAGGATCAAATGAGATAATAATTGCACAGTACTTAGCATGGTGTTGGCACACAGTAATCACTGTACATGTTAGCTATTAATTAATTAATGAAAAGGAAAAGGCAAAGAGAAAAATGAGTTCATCAAGCTATGCTACCTGAGACTACTAATAATGTATAGTAATAGAACTTTTACTTGTGGCATGTTGGTTTCAGAAGTCCTGTTTTCAAGTTCATCCAGTAAGAGTCGATTTCTCCATTCTGCCTGTAATAACTGTTTTTGAAGCTGCAGAAATTGCTCTCTGGGCACCACAAGACAACCTTGCTGCCGAAGGAGCAGCACATTCTGATGGTGTGAGGATGGATTAAGCATCAAATTGAACTTCGAGTCTTGTATCTGAACAAGTATAAAAATAATTTAAATACAACAATGATGTTGTTAACAAGTTGCAACTGACTATTGTAAGGGACCTCAGTTCATTAACTTTATAAGGCATTTATTTCAATTCAAACCAACTCAACTCAACCAATAGTTAATTATGAACTTAATTTTTCTTTGGATCCTAGTACAATCATCACCGAAAGTAACAAATTCCATTCCTTCTCTTATATGATGGAATTGGTGGTGCCTGGATGATTTTCCAACGCCACGTTGCTACGATTTTTTATGTAGCATAGTGTACTGATTAAAGGAATTCATTAAATCTTTGTTGATAATGACATACAGTAACATTGCATGTATAAACTACAGAAGTCAGTCACATTCTTTGTAGATATGTGACAAAATTATTTAGCTCATTAGAGATGAGTCTATGATTAGTTTTATGCTTGTTATTGCTCCTCCCAAATTATTATGCCTTCCTCCATATATTTTATATTAGGTGCATTTGTGTGGGGTAGAGAGGAGCTATTTCTATGAAACTGGTTCACATTTGAATTTTTTCAATGAATAAAAACTTACAGTTAGAGTTAGAATAAGTAGTTTGAAAGAATAAGATAGTTTGAATATGTATTTGTATTAAATATTTCTTATAAAAGCCTGACATTCAAAACAAATGGGGAATGCATATAATTCTAAAAGATTAAGAACTTCTCCCAATAGTTAAGTGGTAAAATAAGAAGTTTAAAAAGAAAAGAAAACAAATTATTTTTTAAAATAACATGAAAATTACTAATAATCAGAGAAATGTGAATTAAAACAACTCAGCTCTGAGACATCACCACACATCTGTCAAATGAACAAAGTTATTAAGGGATGGAAATCTCATTGTTGGAGACACTGTGAGAAGACAGGAAATAAATTCTGTCCCTTCTATTAAAATAACATTTCCTCCAATTTCAAAAATGAAATGGAAAAACACATGCTAAGATACTGAAATTGAAAAATGCTTCAGCATTATTTTAAGTCATTACATACGCCATTTAGTAGAATATGATACAAAAAGGGGGAAAAAATTCTAGAAGACAACCCAATGCTGAAATTTTCTTTTTGAATTAAGTCAGATCCTTAAAAAAAAAGAAAGCATTTCCTGCTTGACTTGTAGGGTAGGCATATTATTTATATACATAATAAAAACCTTAATTCAAGTTAATCTTTTGGGTGTGAGAGTTAATAATACAATGACATTAATCTGAAATGCCCCCTTTAATGGAGGGTAGGGGGAAGTGCTGGGAAGGATCTTTAGGATTTTCTTTCCTTGATTTTCAAAAAGAACACTGGGGGCAGCTAGGTGGCGCAGTGGATAGAACACTGGGCCCTGGAGTCAGGAGGACCTGAGTTCAAATCCATCCTCAGACACATAATATTTCCTAGCTGTGTGACTTTGGGCTAGTCACTTAACCCCAATCACCTCAAACACACATGCAAAAAAAAGAACACTGGAGGAGTACTCAGGTGGTGTAGTGCATAGAGCACTGACCCTAGAATAAGGAGGACCTGAGTTCAAAACAGACCACTGAAAAGCAAATATTAAAAGGTTATATTCTTCCTGACAGCCATCCTTAACAAAGGTTTCAAAAAAATTCTTAAAATGTGCCTTGAGGTGATGTAACCATAGAACGGTTTTTCACTTTAACCAATTAGAATTAAACCATTAAATTAATAGCATAATTAGGTACACAGTAAAAACTGAAAGATAGGATATAACATTCTTGAAAATTGAAAGATGGGATATGACATTCTAGGATGTTTGAAGATAGACAAGAAAACAAATCATACTGAATTTAAAAATAGTTAAGAAATCCAAGAAGTAGCATATATATGTATAAAATACCACAGAAGCAGAACCAAGAGGACTTTGTACACAATAACAGCCACGTTATGCAATGACTAAGAATGTTAAACTGAACCTTCTCAGCACTACGAGGATCTAAGACATCTCCAGAGGCCTCGGGATGGAAAATGCTGTCCGCATCCAAAGAAAGAACTATGGAAGTCGAATCGCTATCACTTATTTTTTTACCTTCTGTTGAGTTTTGTTTCATCTTTCTGATGGTTCCTCCTATTGGTTTTAATTTTTACTTACAACTTCACTAATGTGAAAGTATGTTTAATGGGTATGTAAATGTAAAGCCCATGTCAGATTGTGCGCTGTCTTGGGGAGGGTGGGGGGAGGAAAAGGGAGAAAAATTTTCAACTCAAAAGCATATGGAAAAAAAAACATTAAAAATGAACATAAGAAAGAAAAAAAAATATGATCACAGGAGGGATGAAAGAGGAAAGTGTGTTTAAGTTTTACCACTCATGAAGCATGTCACTTCAATTTTGCCCACAAACTCAACAAACATCAGGGTTTGACAGAAGGCATGCAAACATATGATGCACTAAAATCAGAAGTCATGACCCAGGCTAGTGAAAAAGTCAATGGTCATTGTGATACACATAACTTTAAAAATGGTAACATGAAACTTTAGAGCCACTGTCCATTTCCTGAAACTAATAACACAAATTTGGGGGGGGGGGGAATCCACAAAACTTCAATTCCCCTCTTCGTGTTAAAGACTATAGACTAGATTACCCTGTCATTGATATAATTTTCTTTATGCCTAAATGTCTGTAACTCAGAGAAAAATTCCTCTGTGAATTCAAAATTTAAACCCTCTTCCCTCTGCCCCAGCATAATCAAATGAATAATGGCTCATCTTTAATACAGTATAAAACAAAGTAAAAACTGTTATTGACAAAGAACATGACATGTTTCTATCATGCTATGGTAAGACATTGAAAAAGGAATGTTCTACCTTCACCCACTATATCAGGCAGAGAACTGTACCCATCTCTGTTATTTCCAGCCATTGAATTCTAGACACAGTTAGCCACAAACAAAAGAACAAAGATCAAAATATTACAGGAGTTAGAAAAAGAGAAACAAAAGTATCAATTGATCTTTTCATATAAGATATAATAGATACAGCCACATATTTGCCAGCATATCAGCCAGGAATAAGTTGTGAGAGACAACATCTTGCATTTTATTAAATACAAAGTTTGGAAACAAATATGTTAGAACAGTCCTGACTCCATAATCATTGTACATGTGTAGTCATTTGCCTGAATGAATTTGACTGGTTTGTCCTTTGAATACGACCAGGTAGGTTTATTAATTCCTACTCTAAGAATAAGACAATCCAGATTAATATCTCACACTAGAGCAAACACTCTGCATTTGACAAACAGGGTCCTGATTCCCAAACTAGGAAGAGGTAAAATAGAGATTAAGAACCATAAACCAATATCAATAATGGACAATGGTGCCAAAATATTAATAAATTATTTGCAAAGAGATTACAATAAAAATTATCCGAATTCCAGGATGGTTCAACATTAGGAAAACAATTATTCTAATGAATTATACTAATAACAAAATTAAAAACAACACGATTGTATTGAGATGCAGAAAAAAGGCTATGATAAAAATATGGCACTCATTTATATTAAAAAATTCTGAAAAGCGTAGGAAGGAAAAAACTTTTCCTTATTAAGATAAAAATGCTTAACCAAAACAATTGCTTAAAGAGAAGCACCAGAAGCTTTCATAGTAAGATCATTAAAGCAAGGATGCCAACTATCACCATTATTATTTGATATAGTACTAGAAATGCAAAAAAAAATAGAAAAATGCGAAGAAATTAAGGAAATAAGCATTATCCATCCATAGACTCTCCCTTGAATTTCAGACCTGTATCAAAAACTGCCTTTTGGATATTTCAAACTAAACTCATTATCTTTCCCCATAAACTTCTCCATCTTTTAAACTCCCTTGTTTTTGTTGAAGGAACTATCATACTTCCAGTGTCTCCAGTTCATAATTTTGGCATTATCCTTGATTCTTCATTCATCCACATTTCCAATCAACCACCAAATATTTGCCATTCCTATGTTCACCACATCTCCTACATCTGACTCTTTTTCACCATTCACATAGCTATCATCTTAGTTTAGGCTCTAATCACCTCTTATCTAGATTATTGCAACAATATCATAACTGGTGTTCCTAACTCAAGTCTCTTACCTCTTCAATTAATCATGTGATTCCCTTTCTTTTGTGTTTTTGTTTTTTTTTTAGGCAATTGGGGTTAAGTGACTTGCCCAGGGTCACACATCCAGTAAGTGTCAAGTGTTTGATCTGCGGCTGGATTTGAACTCAGGTCCTCCTGACTTCAGGGCCAGTGCTCAATCCACTGTACCACCTAGCTGCCCCTGTGATTCCTCTTCTTGACCAAAGCCGGTAGCTTCCTATTGCTTCCAGAATAAAATACAAACTCATTTGTTCAGCTCTTAAAATCCTAACCAGTCTGGCTGCCATCTATCTTTCTAGCCTCACTGGACCTTATTCACCATCCCACATTCCACACTGGCCTTCTGTCTGTTCTTCACTCATTATACCTCATCTCTCATCTCTGTCCCTCATTCCCAGAATGCACTCCCTTCTTATGTTTACCTTATAAAGTAATTTTCTGCCTTTAAGATGCAGGTTAGGCACCACCTTCTAGATGATCCCAGTACTCTCTTTAAAACTAGCATATATTTATTTTATTTTGCATTTTTAAAAACAAATTTTATTTTACTTTCCCATGTATAATCAAGAAAAAACAAATTTCTGTAATGCCCATGCCCAAGAAAACGTCTCAGTCTGTACTCTGAGTCCATTACCTCTCTAACAATAGGTAGACAGCATGTTTCATCATAAGTTCTGCAGAACCGTGCTTGGTTATTGTGTTGATCTGAGTTCCTAAGTCTTCCAAAGTTCTTTGTCTTTATGAAGGCGTTATTATTGTATAAATCGTTCTTACGGTTCTGCTTACTTCACTCGATATCAGTTAATAAAAGTCTTCCCAGGTTTCTGAAACTGTCACAACTTATTCCTGGCTGATATACTGGCAAATATATGGCTATATCTATTATATCTTATATGAAAAGATCAATTGATGCTTTTATTTATCTTTTTCTAACTCCTGTAATATTCCCCCTTATCTTCTTCTTCCCTCTCCCCTTTTATGCATTCTCTCATTCTGTATCTTAGTTCAGCATATATTAACTTACTCATAGGCAGGGTGTCATGGTATTTCAGGTCTGTTCCTCCAACATCACTTCTTTTAAGATTTTGCTTTCATCCTTATCTCTTTGTGTACTTTTAGTAAGAAATCTCTATATAGATTCTCTGTTATTATTTTGTTGATACTATTTTTAACTTAGTGTCTTTTTCTTTTTGGCTTTTTTCCCTATGTGGTAATACATTTTGGTAATTGTGTTTCCCTTGTTTGCTGTATTGTTTACTTTTCTTTTATTTCTGCCATATGGGGTATTTTCAAAGCAAACAATCTGATGATGTCTAAGGTTCTGTGTGTGTGTAGGGATACAAAATTTTCTTCTATAGGTAGAATGCTCTGAATAACTCAGTTAGATAAACATATACAAATTTGTACTACACAATAATTAATATTGTGGCTCACAAATGGGATATGAGATAAAACACTTTTCAGGGCTAAGCCAGTTAGTGGAAAACTTACCTCCATCATCTCCTCATCTACTTTTACTTGTTTATTTTTCAGGCTTTGATTTTCCAAATGAATTGCTTCCGATTCTTCTTCAAGTTTGTTCATTTGACTAACCTATTATAAAGCGGAAATGTTCTTAAAAACAGCCACTGAAATAACTACAAAGTACATAAAATACATGGAAGTTAGCCTACTAAGACCCACATGGCTTAAATAAATACAACTACCAAGCAATATTTAGAGAAAGAGTCATGGGATCATCGATCAAAAACTGGAAGGAACTTTAGAGGTCATTGAGTCCAATCTTCTCATTTCACAGGTAAGAAATTTGAGGCTCAAAGAATTTAAGTGACTTGTCCAAAGTCATACAGCTAATAAGGAGTCAATATCCATTGCGTATGTCATTATATAAAAATGATATCATTTAAATTAGCATTCATATTTAGTGCTATATAATCAAATTATCAAAGGCCTAATTTTTAGAATACAAAAACCCTCTGATTTTGTCAGCATAAAGCATTCCTAGTGTGAGAACTCCCTCCACCAATGAAGATCACAACCCATATATTATTTAATCATTAGGAGTTGATTAATGTTAAATGAAATATCCACAAATAATAAGCATTAGAGACACGAGTTGAAACCAGATCTACTCCACCCCATTCTGCCTTATCTTATAGAACAAAATAATAATAACAAAACTCCTATTAAGAAACAAAAGGCTGAGAATTTTGAGGGAGAAATGAAAAAAAAAGAAAATAATAGAAGAAAAAAACAGGAAAAATGAAAGAGGTTTAAAACTACACAATCTAAAATTATATTACAAAGCAATACTTATCAAAATTACCTGATGCTCACAAAATAAGAAAATAGTTCAGTGGAAGAAATTAAATAAGTAGGACTCAAAAGCATATAAATACAACCAGTCTTGTGCTTAACAAACCCCAAAACACAAACTACTGAGGCAGAGATCGACATCTTAATCAGATCATCACCACAGATTTCAAATGGATAAATGTTCTGCATATAAAGACATTTGTCATAAAGACATTTGAGGAGGAATGGGTGGCCATATATTTCAAGACATAGAAGAGATTATAAATGACAAAATATTTTGATTCATGAAATTAGAAAGCTTTTGCACAAAGAAAATGCAGCCAGAATAAGAAGGAAAGATAAAACACTTGAATTAAACGTCTTTGATGAAAAGTCTGATATTTAAAATATATAGGTAAAGGGTAGCTTGTAATGGATAGAGTGTGCTGGAATTTGAGTCTAGAAATACCTGAGTTCAAATCCCAACTCAGACACTTAACTTAGCTATGCTATTCTGGACAAATCACTTAACCTCTCTCAGACTGTTTCTTCATCTGTAAAATGAGGATAATAATGATACCTACTTCCCAGGGTTGTTGTGAAGGTCAAATGAGAGAACATTTGTAAAGCACAAGACCTAGCACATAATGTTAATTGTTGTTGTGTTGTTATTATTATTATTATAAACACAGAAGGAATTGCATTCACACAATATATTATGGCCAGAACACTGGGACACTTTTCTGAAACTATTCACATTCTCTCTTTAACTCAACTTTGATTGTTCTGAGATTTTTATAGCAATTGATGGCTTCAGATATTTTTTTGAATTCTGGAGGGGAAAAGTAAAGATTCTATCTGGTGGACCTAATCAGAAACAATAAGAGGAAAGAACACTTTTAATGTGGTCATCAAAAGGAAAAAGGAAATCCATTCTCGGTCCTTGGGTTCAGTTGAGTCAAGTATTCACTTGCTACTTTCTGAAATTTATCTTTATATTCCTGAAGATTCTTTCTAGACAATTATTTAACATAAAGCAAATACTTCCTCTTTAGCAGCCATGAGTTGCCCCTTTAGAGCAAGAACTATCCCACTTTTGTATTTGTGTCATCAGTGCGAGGGCTTGGCATGTAGTTAATATCTGACACATTTTATTATTTGATTAATGTACTATACCAACACCATTTAAGTATCAGAACTTTGAGTAGAATTTTACTCCTTTATAATACTGTACCCAATAACTCATAAATGTTTTACATGATTGCACATGTATAACCTTTATCAGACTGCTTACTGTCTCAGAGAGGGGGTAGTAGAGAAAGAGACGGGTAGAATTTGGAACTCAAATCTTTTTAAAAAATGTTTTAAATTGTTTTAATATGTAATTGGGGGAAATAAAATATTATTTTTAAAAATTTATAACTGACATTTATATAGTGCTTTACAGTTTAATTATGAAGAATCAGATTTAAACTAACTTTCAGAAATCCATATTTTTTCTTAATATTTTTACCATAAACAACTTTTTAACAAGATTACTTTCCTTCCTCCAATATTTTATAAATATTTTATGATTAAAATCATTACATGAAAGTAATGACAAGTTATCTAAATGGCCTTTAAATTCCCTTCCAGTTCTATAAAATGATTGATGTTCTATAGCAAGTTACTCAAATCTTTATTCTAGGAAGATTTGAAAATTTTTCTTTTAATGTTTTTCAATTGTGGTCATAAGCTGCTGGTATGTGCAGCTTTTCTAGTTACCTTTTCTTGGGAGTGTATGAGTTCTGCTGTGGAGCTCTGCACCACAATTTGAAGTCTTGCATCCTCCTGCATTAATAGCTGCTGTTCTTGGTTAATCAGATGACCCAACTTATTCCAGGACATCAGTTTCTGCCGGTTCTGTAACCCTGAAGGACATATGGCTAATTCTGGAAGCCAGTTCTTTAAAAGAAAGAGTATTAGACCTTAAAATTAACTAGTAAAAATTTCTGTAGTTACTCAGTAACCATTACTTTAAAATTTTTGAATGGTTACCTTTCTTTTCTAATAAGAATATTATAGTAATTTCATCGTATCATAGTTTTTTAGGAGCACGGGGAGTTTTAAAATTCACTGTTTGAAAATATTATTTGGCAAAATAATTCCTTCAGTGTAACACTAAATATTATTGCACAGAAACATTTCAGTTTCATAACAATATCAATTTATAGGTAAATGTTCTGAAAGAATAATTGGTCCCTGTGAACTTATTAATTCTGAGAACTTTGGTGATTATTATTTTGGGCTCAGCATAGAAGTTGTTGATAAAATGAACTCTAAAAAGTTATAAGTATGAAAGATAATAATCACTGAAGGTCTAGCATGTTCTGCTTTGTTTCATACAGGCAAATTTATTTAAAGAATCCAGTGAACAAGTCGGTCATATAATCGAGATCAGAATTCAGGTACACAATTTTAAGCTATTAAAGGTGAATTTCTGACTCCAGAATTTTATTTTAGAAACTCAGATACACACAGAGTCAACTAAGCCCTAAAACATAAAATAAAAGCAAGATTTACAGCTTGAAAAAGTGAAAAAGTCATTAAAAACTATAACTACTATTATTAAATATCATTGGTATCCAAACCTCCAGAGAGAAGAAACTCAAATCAAAACAAGCCAGTTAAAATTACCATCAATAGGTAAAATGATCCAGTCAACATTAGTTTTATTGTTTCAAGTCCCTTTCACTTCTTTTTTTGTTTGTTTGTTTTTCGGGTTGTTTTTTTTTTTTTTAGCTAGGCAATAAGATTAAGTGACTTGCCCATGATCACACAGCTAGCCAGTGTTATGTGTCTGAGGCCAGATTTGAACTCAGGTCCTCCTGAATCCAGGGCCGGTGCTCTATCTACTGAGCACCTAGCTGCCTCTCCCTTTCACTTCTAAAATTCTATACATATTGCTAACAGGCATGATCTCTGTCCTGAATTATTTACATCTTCTATCAAATATGTGATTTGAAGGTAATGGTAATGCTGCAGAACTTAAAATAATCTTCCAGTTTGTAAAGTATTTCAACAATCCTATCTTCACTTTCCACTATATCATACTTATATTGTATCTGTCAACAATGAGAATGAATTGTCTAAGGAGCTTACTATTAATACTACTGACTTGTATTTTGAATTGTAGATTCTATTTTTATTTAGATTTTCACTTTGTTACAACCTAATTTCCTCCAAGCCTGATCTAACATTATTTAGACCCTGAATTATTTAGCCAGCTTCCATACTTCATTTCACCATGAAAATGCCCTCATTTACTACTCTTAAATTAAGCCCAGTATTTGGTCTCCCTTGAACAAGTTACCTTGCCACTGACATTCTGTAATTGCTTGTGTAGTGACATCACTTCCTCCTTTAAGGCTTCATTTTCCTGCTGGGTCATCTGCAGGTCTGACTTCATTTGGGACATCTGAGTGTTAGCATTCTGTAGACAATGACCTAAATTCTGAACCTGAATTCCAAGGATAAATACGTAGTTTTATATTCATTGACAAGCCATATACTCTTTTTTGACATTTCATCTTTCTGCATTTCAATAACATAGCTATGAATACAACGGGATTGAAATGATAACTTGTCAAGGTTCCTTCCACTTCTATAAAGTACACACAGTACTTGTTTTATGTAAGTGGATTTTTCTGTGCAGATGTCTATGTAAAGAGATTTTTATGTAACGAAAACTTGCCCAGATCTGGGGAAGGGAGAGAGGCAGGAAGGGGGCTGCCCACCCGTGGAGGGAGGGAGCCAGCACATGGTTAAAGGACACATGGGAGCCTGGGACAGAAAAGTCAGAGCAAAAGGAGGAAGAACACGGAGGCCAGGGCTAGCCACATGGGGCCCTGGCCAGAAAGGAGAGAAAGAACATGGGGGCAGACACATGGTAGCCAGACACAAACAGGAGAGGACAGTAGATATGCGGGGGGGTTAGGGACAGACACGTGGCACCCCAGCATAGAAGGACACCCAGGGGCTGCACAAAGGTGGTGGTGGGTGATGTGGGAAGAAAGATACTGTACTGTATCAGTACTGTACAATAAAGTTAACCATAGGTGTTTTCTAAGAATGTGGATTTCTTTCAGAATTCTTTACACAAAGTCAATTTACATAAAGCAAGAATTGTCTGTATTATAATTTGGTACCTTCATTTTGTCTTATAGTTCAGTGGAAGACAAGAATGTGCCACATTTTAGTGAATTTAGGAAATAAGCTCTAATTTGCTCATATATTATATCTTTCTATCTAAAGAAAGGAATTATAACATAGTTTCATAGGTTCCTAAGTGAATATGTCATAAACACCTAAAACCTGAATATAAATGTGGCTCACAACACATAATGTGCTACATGGATGTCCAGAGAGATAGTCCTTTGTGCTACAGAACCAGATAAACACAGGCAGAAACATAACAGGCTATCTATGATGTGCCTTTTAGTGCATTAGTTTACTCTGATGAGAACCGAAAGTTTATACAGTGGCTCGATGACATTCTAACTGAGTCCTTTTAGTAATTTTTTTTTTGCTACTAGGATGATTTATGTAACATAATGCTATTCAGTCATCAGTTTAATATTTCTACTCATTGTCAATGCTAGATTTGATACTGAAGACTAGAAACAGATTTCTGTATGATGCTTGGTTGATGCTATACATAATTAGGCATTATTAAATGACTTTTAACGATGATAACATGTTGAACATGTGGAGCAATGCATTACAAAAATTGCTCAGCTGTCTGGCATGGTTATCAACCTCAATCTATTATAGATTCAAAATTACAATCAATTAAACAAACATGTATTGAGCACTTATGATGTTTAAGGCACTTGAACCAATATTAAGATATAACATGGTTTCAACTCTCAAGAAACTTATAATGTACAAAAGTATTAAAAGTTCAGAGAAGGGAGAGATCACTTTTAGCTATGGGGAGGGACCAGGCTTTATGAGCAAAGTAGAATGTGAGCTGGGCCTTGAAATATAGATTGGATTCAATAGAGACAAATAGGAAGGTTATTCAGGTGAAAGTAAACTCAATACAAATATTCAGGCAGAAAAGCATGGAATATAATTGGAGAAATGGCAAATAGACTAGTTTTGCTGGCATGTAGGTTAAGAAGGAGTGTAATGTGAACTAGAACTAGAAAACCATAATGAGGAGAGTCTATGTTTCAAGAAAAAGAAGCTAGACTACTCAGTAGACAATGGGGAGCCAATGAGGATTTTTGAGCAATGACTAGATCTGTGATCATGCCATGTAGCATGAAAATTAATTTGGCAATCCCATGCAGGAAAAATGAATTAATGAAACCTGTTAGGGAGCTATTGCAACAGTCCAAGCGAGAGGCAGTTAAGATCTGAACTAGGATGGTGTCAAATGGAGTAGAAAGGAAAGGAGTGAACTGAGGTGAATGGAGGTAGAAGTAATGAGAGTTGGTAACTGATTAAAAATAAGGGGAGAGGGAGGAGAAAAAACTTATTTTGAAGTTTTCACATAGTGCTTTTTAATAGAAGGAGGGAAATCAACAGGAGGGGCAGGTTTTTGGGTAAAGATGATGAACCATCCAGGTGGCCAGACTATACAGGTGGAGATGTACACCTGGAGTTGAAACAATGGTATGATGCTCGTGAGAGAGGTTGAAGCTAGAAACATAATCAATGACCAAGAGGTAACGAAATGATAATTTAAAAAAGAAACATCACTTTTGCTTATTAACTCCATATTCTTGCAAAATTATGTTAACAACACATAATCTTACATTTAATAGTTCTGAGCATCTATTGGCTGAATTCAGAGTTAAATTGATTTGCTGGTAACAAGAGCTATCATATGCCTTCTTTAAGACCTAATAGATTTCTCAATATATTATCACATTAGAATATTTATATAAAATAACAAAAACAAAATTAATTAAATTTTTAGCCTGAGTTGCAATAGAGAAAACTTAAAATATAAGAAGTATAAGGTAGAACTGTAAACCATCCTTGCGAAGTGGAAGTTCAAATCAGGGAATAAGCACATGTATGGCATTTATTATTCTCATACTTTGATAATTAGGATCCCTAGGGCAAGAAATTTTGAAGAAGGGGGTTTCAAATTTTTTCATTGTACTGTACCCATGCCAAATCCTACTTAAATTAAATAGATCATTGGAAAAGGTTTAGAAATATGTAATTAAATACATTTCTTGTGGGAAAGTATTCATATGTATTATTATGTTAATTGACCTATCTGCATTATTTCTTTTTAGTGAATGAAATAAAACAACATATAGAAGACACAGTGACAAAGGGGGAAAAAGTAAGAAATCTTTACCTTTTCCTGGGAAGCTGCAAGCTGTGATTTCAGTATTTCACTCTGGTCCTCCCAAGACTTCTGTTGTAGCTTCATAGTTGCAATTTTGTTCTCTAGAAAGTTTAATTTTGCTAACTATTATAGGAATAGAGATATTGGAGGAAGGGCAAAAAAAAAATACAAAAGATTAACTTACCCCAAATTTTAAGGCTATTATGCATGTGAAAATAGTAAACTGTTAGCAAAATGGAAGTATAAGAAAGAAAGATGGACAGAAGCCCTGCCTCAGCTTCATTTTAAATACAAAACTTCTCTTCCATCCTTTTTTGCAGTTCTCTTTTCTTGCCCTATATTCTCCTTCTACCCATGTGAGTACTCCTCAGTCTCCATTGTAAGCTTATCATTCATTCATGCTCCCTAATTCTGGCTATTCCGTAAATTTCTGCTCTGGACTTTCTTCTCTTCTCCCTTTATACTCTTTTCCTTAGCAAATTCATCATCTCCCATGGGCTTATCTTCTCTTATGTGGAATAACAGCTTTAATCTCTTCTGAAATCCAATCCTCTATCACCTATTGGACATGTTCAACTAGAAATTTCAGAGGCATTTCAAATTCAACATTTCCCTATTTTTGCTGAATGCATCAACATTTTCCAGTCTTCCAGTGTTTATATTTGACTCCTCACTCTCCTCACCTCACAAATAAAAGTAGTTGCCAAATCTTATATTTTCTACCTCAATGACTTCTCTTGTATCTACTCTTTCTTTACTCTCATGCAGCCATTACCTTAGTTCAGGTCTTCATTATCTCTTGCCTGGATTATTGCAATGGCCTCCTAATTGTTCTCCCTGCCTTAAGTCTTTTCCCCAGTCTGCCAAAGAGATTTTTCATTAAGTGTCATTCTGACCACATCACTCCCCTTCTCAATAATTCCAAGGCCTCTCTGTTGCCTGTATGATAAAAATCCTGCCTCACATATTTAATAGTTGGGTGACTTTGAGCAATCGACTTAATTGCTATCTGCCTCAGTTTCCTCAACTGTAAAACGGGGATAACACCTACATTGTAGGGTTGTTGTGAGGATCAAACAAAATGATAGTTGTAAAGCATAATTTCTGGTACATAGTAGGAACTATGTAAATGCTAGTCGTTGTTATCATTATTGCAAAGAATGCGAAGATTTGTAGAGTCAGAATGAATTCAATAGATCTGATGACATATAATGGCACCTGAAATATTTTTTGTAGAGAAATATTTATTCCATTTGAAGAAATTAGCTTAGCATATTAGGTGCCCCTTCCAAAGTAACAGAGAAAATTCCATTCATTATGATGTGGAAGACTGTTCTTACGACATTATCAATACATCTATTTAGTTTGTCACCTAGAGTTTCTTCTTTGAACAACTTTTCATTATAGCTTAGCACACTAGAAATTTTACCCTGAAAATTAGAGAAAATGATGTCTACACATCTGAAAAAGATAAAGGAACAAAATTCTTTTATGACATATCAAGTTGCACTTATAAAACAGTATTTATAAATACAACATTTTAATGGATAGTAATATTTCAGGCTGTACACAAACTCTAGGAGATTAAAATTAGCTTTCACAAAATGTTTCCTGTTTCTCTAAACTGCTGAACTGAACATTTAAAAATATCAATAAGCATTTTTATTTTTTTATATATTTCTCATTATGAGGCAATTGGAGTTAAATGACTTGCCCAGAATCACACAGCTAGTAAGTGTTATGTGTCTGTAGCTGGATTTGAACTCAGGTCCTCCTGTACTATAGAACCAGTGCTCTATTCACCGCACCACCGAGGTGGCCCTCAATAAGTATTTTTAAAGAATGTTTTCTGAAATCTAGCTTAAAGTATAAGCATAGGAATTGTACTCAATTTTTTGGTTACAGATTAGACTGGATGGTTACTGAGGTTCTTTTCAACTCTAAAATTCTATGACTCTGCGAAACTGGTAAAATGTTATTGAATAGTGAACATATATTGGGCATTGTGTTATATACAAGCATTGGGGAAAGAGGACAGCACTAGGATTGAAGAAAGAATTGGGTTTTGTTACCATGACATTGACTTGAGAAACTGGGATTTGGCACTTGAAACAACAGGAAAAAAGTGTAAAAGCATCAAAAACCTCTAGTAGTGTCCATTTTATATATTATCTGTGCTAATTCTTTTCCTAATACTATTAATAATCCTTTGCTCTAGGGTCAGAAATGATATGTCACTTGTCTGATTGTTTCCCCGTGCCCCTTTGACGTCTAAGAGTCATTATTTTTAATTATGTTCATTTTTTTTACATTTGTGCCACTGTTCCATATTTTAAAATTAACTAAAAATTTAAGTATGTGTGTGTGTCTGAGTTCTGTGTGAGAAGAATTAATAACAAACACCTTCCCCATGGGCATAGTATCATGTTATATATCACTCCATATCCTTTGGCTCTGGTTTTATTAGACTTTGAAGACAGTCATAAATTATAATTCTCTCATAAGTCAATTTTAAATTATAAAATTGAAAACAATTTCTTTTTTTATATCTAGTCAAATAAATTTTCTGTAATGGAATATATGTTGCTTCTACATGATTTCAAAATTTGTAACTCTTTCAAAATAAGCCACTAACAAAACAGATGAGTGTGGACCAGTACCACTGTATGATTTAAATATTAACTTTTGTTATAAAATCAAGCCAAAACATTTTTTAACCATGTACAGGTTTGGAGTATGTTTGAGAGTATGCCCAAATCAACTTGTTATTAAACAGTGATGGTGATGGCGTATCACCTCCCCTAAGAATTCAATGAAAGCAAGACATAGCCTCCAAAATAGTCTTAATGACTGCCAGAATCTATTTTAAAGGATAAGCATTATTTTTTCTATCTCTCATACATATCTCACAACCCACAATTGGTATTTCTTCTCCTATTTTTGTTTTTTCCAACCTTCAAATTTCAAAAATAAAAACAAAACTGATACCTCATTCTTAAAGATTTTCTTCCCACATTTAGATTCAGTAGTAGTAGTAGTAGTAGTAGAAGAAAACAGAACCAATTCCAGTTTTAAATGGAGACAAATCCTGTATACTTGATAGAGTGAAAAAACAAACAAACAAAGCCTTTTGGAGGTGGAGAGTAAAAGACCACCATAATGTACAATATCCACTGGATAAAAATAGCAATCCAGTAAAGAAGTAACATGAACCTGCTATGCGGGTTGCCTGATTCACTAAAAGTAGCTTGCAATTTTTTCTCATGTCCACTGTAAACTCTGGTTTCATTAGTAACCTGTTAATGCTATTTCTACTTGTTTGTTTTCAATGTAATAGCTTCTATAATTGCAGTGAGGAGCAATGTAGCATACTGGATAGCCAGTCTTGAAGCCAGAATGACATGAATTCTAGTCACAGTTTTGACACATGCTAGCTATATGATACTGAGCAAATCACATAACTTTTCAAAACTCTATGCTATCTTCTAAGAATGTAAATTACAGAGAAGGTGACAATCTTCATTAGTAGAAACAATTTCCTTACGTGGGAATACCCTACACCAATGAAATCAGGTCCAGTTTCCATCACCTATCCATAATCACTGACGTGTGTTTTTCTGGTCCCTAATAACTGACTTAACAGTACCCTCATGCATTAAAAGAGCTTAAGTATCGTGCAAAGTGAAAAATTTATGATAGAACAGAAAAGAGAGTCCAGGGTTTTTATACTACATTAGGCTCCCTCCCATCAAAAGACCATAGGGTCAGAGACGGAAAACTGGACAGGATCTTAGAGGAGATGAGGAAACTAAAGCCCAAGTCATGTGACTCGCTCAGGGTTACACAACTAGTAAGTATCTGAGGTGGGATTTGAACCCAGGTCTTCCTGATTCCCAATTCCAGTGCTCTATTCACTATACTATGCTGCTTTGTTTAGAATCTGTAAAGTATAATCAAGAATATCCTATAATTGACATATTTCTAGAACAAAGGTTTTGAATTTCCCATAGAAGAAGCATAATGGATTGGAACAGCTAATTTATTCATAAGTGGGAGAAAAACCACTAATACAAGCTACAAGTTATAAAACTTTTTCTCCTAAGATAAATTCAGTGACCATTTTTGTCACTGAAGGAGGAGAAATTTAAATTGGAATAAGAGTCCTTGAAAAGCCAAACGCAGAATTAGGGATGATTTATTTTCACATTAGCAAAACAAAACTTGATAAATCCAGAATAAATACTTTGCAGCCTTTATAATTGTTTTAACTTCTTCATGTCCTTACCTTTTCTTCCTTAAAAGCCGAGTCACAAGCTGGACCATTCAGTGGCTGCCATTGCAGAAAGAAAGGAAGGAAGGAAGGAAGGAAAGGAAGGAAGGAAGGAAGGAAGGAAGGAAGGAAGGAAGGAGGGAGGGAAGGAAAGGAAGGAATGAAGAAAGGAAGGAAGATAGAAAGGAAGAAAGGAAGAGAAAAAGAAATTGATACAATTATTCTATGAAGTCATTTAATCAGCAAGCTGCCTACTTGTTTCATTCTCTCCAGTTCATCTTTGAGAAAGAAATTTTCCTGTTCCACAGCATGGGTTTGAATCTTTATTTTAGATAGTTCTGCCTCCAGAGAAGACACCACATCAGATGACTGAAAGAGAACAATGCTAAATGATGATGTAATTCACTCTAGGGACAGAAAAAAACATGCTAAATCTATTCAATGTCTGTCTGTAAAGCACTACAATAAATGTCTGGGAAGTACAAATCTAACAACATAACATTCTTTAACCATTACACATAAACTGAAGTTGATGACGCTTTATATTTGCAGAGAGCACTCTATAGGTTATTAGGAGCTATCGTATGTATTAGCACATTTAATTTGATCTCTACAACAAGTCTGTGAGATCATATCTTCATATTACAGTTGAATAAACAAAGACTCAGAATATCAGTTGACTTCCTCCAGGCCACATAATTAGCAGCAGAACTAGAACTGAAATCTTTGTGCTTTGGTCTCTTGACCATGTCTACCATGGAATTTTCCAAATCATCATTTGAGGTACAAAAAGTAAAAGACTGTCCAAGTTCTTTGGCATGATAGACATTTAAAAATACTGGCTGAATCAATATGTAAAGGCAGCACAGAATAGTTTCTAAAAGTACTGAATCAAGAGTCAGAAGATCTAGATTTAGATGATGATTCTACTACTTATGACCTTGGACAACACCCTTAACCTATCATTAGCTTCATCATTTTTAAAGTTAAAAGATTAAATTACATAATCTTTAAAGTCTCTTCCACTTCCTTCAAGAGGCCTTTCCTGACTTCCTCAGGTGTTAGGTCTCCCACCCCCAAACCAAAATAATTTTGTATTTATTTTGTATATGTAGCCCCAACCTTAAGAAACTAACCTTCATTCTCATGACCAAAATGACATCACTATGACATCTAAGTCAACTTAGAGTGTGTCTGATGGTGACTCATCAGACCAATACAAGCTCAGAATGCTCTACTACAGTTCAGGCAGAAATAGTTCATGTGAATATTTGGCGTGGATTCTCTAAATTTATGTATCTCTCATTTCTTTTGAGCTACTTCAATTCTGCTTTGTTCATAGAGCACAGCACCTTCTCTGATAAAGGCACATCAGGCTAATAAGTCCTGTGCCAATGTCGCCCACGTCATGCAATCAATTCCAAAGTTCATCAGAGAAACCTCAAGAGTATCCTTATATCACTTTTTTTGAGCACCATGTGAGTTCTTGCCTTGTGTGAGTTCTCCATAAAATGGTCTTTTAGGCAAGCATACATTTGGCATTTGAACAATGTGGCCAGTCCATCTGAGTTGTACTTTCTCAAGCAGAGTTTGAATGCTTGGCAGTATAGCTCAAGATAGGACCTCAGTATCTGGTACCTTATCTTGCCAGGTGATCTTCAGAATCTTCACAAGACCATTCAAATGAAAGTGATTCATTTTCCTGGCCTGGTGCTGATACATTGTCCAGATTCCACAGGTATACAATGAGGTCAGCACAGTGATTCTGTAGACCTTCAGTTTGGTAGGCAGTCTAATACCTCATCTATCCCACACTTTCCTTCTGAATCTCCCAAACCCTGAGCTAGCTCTGGCAATGCATGTTCAACCTCAGTATCAATGTGTACATCCCTAGAAAGTATACTGCCATGCTAAGTGAACTTATCCATAGTATTCAAAAATTCTCCATTTGTCAATGGAACCAGTGGTTGCATGTATGGAATAGTATGGTGCTGGCTGGTGGAGCACCTTTATTTTCCTGGTGTTAATTGTGAGGCCAAAATTAGCACAAGCTGCGAAGAACTGATACATACTTTGCTGCATCTCAGCTTCAGAGTCTATATTGAGAGCACCATCATCTGCAAACAAAATATCATGCACCAACACTCCTTCCTCTTTAGTCTTGGCTGGTAGCCTTTTCAAGTTAAATAATTTGCCATCAGTGCAGTAGCTAATGCTGTGTTCATCCTCATTGAAGGCATTTGACAAAATGGCTGAAAACATGCTAAAAAGCATAGGAACAATCCCATCCTCATTAAAAGGGCTAAACAGTCCCCTGAAGGACAGATCTGTGACAATGCATATATTGAGGGAGACATGGCTCCTCATTGGCTAAGATACTGCTAAATGATAGAGAAATTTTTAAAAAATGGAGATTGATGAAGAAGAGGCAAAGCCCAGATTTTGAATGGTCAACAAGAGATTCCAAAGAGCCATAATCTATGTGGGTAAAAGTCAGTACCATAATATATCACTTAATTCCTAGTGCATATTCTCCTCCTGCCCCTACATATTGCTAAGAGTGGAGTTCTCAGACAGATCTCTCCTTAGTTAAGCTGAGATTTCATCTCATTCCTAAACTGCAGAGTCCCATAACTGTTGCATATTCTAGTGCCAAAAATACTATGTATGGACTCCAAAATTACTGTCTTACTTGCTTAATTTGATAAAGATAGTTGCAAGCTATCCGTGACTGTCTTTTGTTTAATAAACATATGACGTGAATGGGAAGCTAAGTTGGCCAAGTTTAAGCTGTTATCTTACAGATCTAGGGTAGATCATTCCATTTCTCCTTGGGGTGATTAGGGAAAGGGGCTTTTATGCTGATCCCCCAAAGAAATGTGCTCCAAGACTTATAAATAGATAGGAGAATCAACTGAGATAAATGAATCCAAGTAAAGTGATGAAGGTAGAGGGCGGAAGGTAGATAGTGGAGAGTTCCTCCCAGATACTTCATTTAAAGAGGGTGTGAGTTGATGGGAAAATATGTTTAATAGGAATGTATATGTATAGCCTATATCGGATTGCACACCATCTTGGGGAGAGAAGTGGGGGGGGAGAGAAAAATTAATAAATAAACAATGTGAAGATAACTATCTCATTATTCACCATCAGCAGCACTCCTCAGTTCATCATGTCCCCAGGCATGGGGGCTCCCTCATCTTCCCCTCCTCTTTTCAGCTTCTTTTTATGTGTTATCTTCCCCCATTAGATTGAGAGCCCTGTAAGGGCAAGAACTGTCTTTTGCCTTTCTTTATACCCCCAGTGCTTAGCACAGTGCAAGGCAAATAGTAGATGCTTAATAAATATTTACTGACTGGGGATGACATCACTGAGATAATATGAATGGAGACGAGAAGAGGACCAAAGACAGATCTTTAGGGAACACCCATGGTTAATAAAAGTAGCCTAGAGAGATCTAACAAAAAGAGACTGGAGCAGCTAGTTAGCACAGTGGATAGAGCTCCAGCCTTGGAGTCAGGAGGACCTGAGTTCAATCCAGCCTCTTACTAGCTGTGTGACCCTGGGCAAGTCACTTAACCTCGATTGCCTCATCAAAAAAAAAAAAAGAGAGAGACCTAGGAGTAGTCAGACACATAGGAGGAAAACTAGGAGAGGATGATGTCATGAAATCCTAGGGAGAAGACAGTATCCAGATGGAAAGAATGATTAAAAGTGTCAAAGGTTGCAGAGGTCAGAGAGAATGAGGATTGAGAATAAGCCATTAGATTTGGCATTAAGAGGACATTGGTAACTTTGAAAATAATAGTTTCAAGTTAAATGATAAGGTTACAAGCCAGTCTGCAGAAGGATTAGAACTGAGGAGAGATAAAGTGGAGGCAAGAATTGTAGGCTGCTTTCTCAAGTTTAGCCATGAAAGAAAGGAGAGATACAGGATGGGTGGAAGGGGTAGAATTGAAGGGATGAGAATGAGGGAGAAGGAAAAAGAGCATGGGGAATAAGATTTGCACTATGATAGACAGGGGTTCAGAATCAGTAAGATGAGATGAGTTATGGGGTAGGAATATGATAATCATTGAGAAATTAATTCAGATTATCAGTGATTGGAATAAAGTCCATTAAAAGTGATTAGATGTACAGGATCCTCCTTCAATACCCAAACTTTTGGGAGGTGTTGATGATGAATCTCATGAAGTCCAGGAGGACTAACTGAGAGCAGGCAGAAAGAGGTTAAGGTAAAACCCGAGGAAATCTGGAAAGGAGTCAGGAACTGGCAATTTGAGGAGGCTCTGATCCAGGAAGAGCCTCCAGACCACTGAAGAAGGCCTCAGACAGATATAGGCCAGAGGCCTGGGCCCTAGATCCAGGGCTAATGCAAAACTCTGAATGAAACTGAAGAGGTCACAGGTAGACAGACTGGACCTGAGACTTTCTCGGAAATCTTATAAAGACAGAGGTCACAAGTAGTCTTCACGTTGAAAGATTTAAGAATCTATCTCAAAGAAATGTTGGTTAGTGGAATCATCACAGAAACAAAGGAGCCCTGATGTATTACCAGTAGGAGTGGCACCAAAGAAGAATGTGTGTTGAATAGACTTCAAACAGAAGAATCGAAGTATACTAGTACACTATGGCATATGTTCAAGATGCACTGGGTTGTCTTCTGGGCACCCAACAGCTTTCAGCCTCAGACCTGCAATGTGAATCCTGTCAGAGCCCCGTGTCTCAGAAAGAAAAGCAAAAGACTATTTTCATCTCTCTGGATTGTATCAGCTTGGATGTATGTCTCAAGACACGTGCCACTTTCCAACAGACAAAGTAATGAGAGACATCCATCACCAGAAAGTTTTGGTATACTCTGATAACATAATTTGGAAAGATAGTGTGGGAAGACCGAAGAAATTATTAGATTGGTTGGAGGAAGCTCATCTGAAGCCGTAGAGGAGGTAAGACAAAAAGTGCTACCTCTCACTCCACTATCTTAATTCTCCCTCCAACTATAGCATCCACATTAATGTTTGTTAATTGTTTTTACTCAATGTATTTGTAAATGGTAATGGCTGTTATGTTGGGTTGTATGTGGTGTTCAGGAGGACTAGCATCTCTGGTTTGAGGGCTCACCCAGACCTTTTCAGGGCTGCTCATCCACCTTTGGTGTCCACTTGATTCACCCAACTCTCATCTGTGGCTCTAAGAAGCTGTGGCCTGCACAGAGGCCACAGCCCAGAAAACCATCTTGGCAGATGGGCTAAACCAGGTTGAAGGTAACCAATAGGCCTCAAACCTGTCAGTGAGATAGAAGGATGTCTACCTCAAGCATGTGAAGACTTTCTTCAGCAGAAAGGGCAGATGAGAACAATTTGTCTCTA